AGATGAGAGGGGCCGACAAAGCAGTGTCAATGGAGGGCGGTCCGTTTTAGGAGCGAGTTATTTAGGAAGGATTGTAATTAGGAGGGACCATTGTCCGAGGACAATGGATTGCGACTCCTTTGTGGCCTCCGGGTCATTAGAATGCTCCTCACAATGGCAACTGCCATCCGGGCCTCCGGAGCTCTTGCCTCTTATCTTCCTCTTCTTCTTGTTCAACAGGAGAAGAAGGAGTATGGGTGTAGTAAGATACCTGCATAGGTGTAAGGTAAACCAAGCATGCAACTGAAACCGACGTGAACAATGTCCAATCCATTAGTTCCATTTTATGCTTAAGGACTTGAAACATGAATAATTCAGGTAATTAAGGAACCTGAAGGTTCGATATCGATATAACCAGTAATCTTTGATAACATATCTCCCCTTTACACACGTTATACCAGGATTAATGTCAAGGATATTCACGAAATATCAAAAAGTTTCAGTGTCGAAGAAAAATCGCGAACAATAACAAAAGTTATAAAAATTATAACTTTAATGGCTGTTTATATTGAGCTAAATGATCTTGAAAGAATTCCTTTTTTTCTTTTTAACTGGCTAAATAAGGACAAAATGTGAGTATATATTTTTGTTTTCTCTTTTCTGTGATAACTCATAAGTAACTTAACAACCATGTTATATCAACCATTATGAACCATATAACACATTGCCCTGTTAATGTTATTACATAATGTCGATTCGGAATTTCAATTCCATCTTTATATTAAGACCAGATACTACAGCTGTAATACTTCAATAATTATAAAATATTTTCAATCATCAATTCGAGTGATTATCTTGTGAAGATGTAGTGACCAGAAAGTACCAGTAAAAATGTTATTTTTTTTTTATCTCTGCCATATTTGGCTTTTAGGGGGTGCCTGTGGTAGGTTTAAATGATAACTGAATATGAACGCGTTGCATGATAAAGACCATATCCGAAACCTACCAACCTCCCCCCTTCGTGGCGTTATCATCACGTGAACCGGGATCGTAAAAAGTCAGCCAGTATCTCTTCCGTCGCTCCCCTTTCCCCCCCCTTTAATAAAACATGTTTTATCGCGGGGCATTAAGTTTTACTGTGCCTGCTTGAGGTGCTCGTTCCGCCCTCTGAACCACTTGGGTTTTCCGCATGTCGTTTTCTATCTCTTCTTCATCTCCCTCACAATCTCTTCAGTTCACGGCGGAATTTTATTTTTAACAAATATTCAATATTGTCTCACCGCTACACGAGAATTTATTTTGCCATGGTATAAAATCATGTAAAGTAAAAGGATTGTGGATTAAGACTGAGCCATGTAATAGGAAAACCGTCCAATGCGTCATTGATTAAACGATTAAAATTAGTATAATAGCATAAATAAAATTCACAAATGAGTGAAATAAAACAAATATATATATATTGTTATTTTTTTTTTTACATCAAGAGGTTAATAAATATCGACCAACATATAGGAGGACCTATACGTATTTCTGAATTATGTTTGTCATAATTCTTTAACTTTCTAAATTTTTAATCTCTCCCTCTGCTTTGTAAGTTTCTCCAAACTGAACCACACAAAAATATGGTCCCTTACGCCGTTATAATGTAGCAACCTATAAAATTTAAAACCACATAAAAATGTGCAATCCTCTCTATAAGGAGTTAAGGAAAGAAAAAATTGCTCTGCCCATATGTTGTACAACATATACTATAGGTGATTTTAATCAAGATGTTAGTTTGAGGAAATCCAGATTTCTAATCACCAACATTAGTTCAATGGCAACTCATCATAATAGATCTGTTTAAAAGAATTACTATTGCCTGCTTCAGGTTATCGACAGACGTGTACTAGAAAAGATATTGTTCATACAAGATCGTTCATTAACGCCTCGTATATATTGTCTTAGAGCAGGGGTCTCCAAACATGGCTTGAGATGAAAAAAAAAATCTTGTTCTACTAATGACATATCAGTTGCGAAATGGGCTTTATAAGTGAAAAAAAAAAACCATGCAATTTATGTTGCAGTAATCTTTTGTTTGAGTAATAATTTCATATTTGTTTAATAGTTTTTAAAACTTTATTATGTAATCAAAGAAACGTTCGCGGACCGGATTGGAAGTTCTTACGGGACGTAGTTTGAAGACATCTGCCTTAGATTAAAATAACAATCCAACTCAAACATAGCAGAATATTTCGTTTTTTTTTTAAACTGCCAATGGTTTACTACCTCTCCAAGTCAGTTGGGCGAAATTTAGTAGCTTCCATTACTTGGGAATTCGTTAAGACTTACCAGACAATTAGTTAACTACTGATATTATAAATTTAAAACCAATAACCCTGTTGAGCAAATCCGATACCTAGGACTCCACCTGGACAAACGACTCACTTGGAATCCTCATACTAGACTGAAACGACAAGAAACCGCTCGACGTTTCCGATTACTTCAGCACTTATTAGACAAACGCTCGAAACTTCCAATTAATTACAAAAGACTCATATACTTGACTATAATAAGGCTTATTTGGATTTACGGAGTTGAGCTATGGGGCTCCACTAAACCATCGAATTCCTCTCGTATCCAATCCTTACAATCCAAAATCCTTCGTAAAATCCTCAATGCTCCCGACTTTGTTACAAATAAAACCATCCATAATGTTTATTTTGATTCAGATCTGGCCCAATCCAGATACTTATCCTTCCATAATAAACTTCAGAATCATCCCAACCCTCTCGTTTCTAATCTTGCTTCCTCTTCAATTCCTGATAACCTTCCGAGGCGTCTGAAAAGAAGGTGGTCCTGTGATCTCCTAATGTAGACATATCATTAAAGTGCTACCATCGGGTAGTTACTCAGCAAGTGTTTTAATGTCATTATATCCATTATGTTCAAATTTACTAAAGGTATTTATTCAATACAGTTGTAAATATAAAAAAACGAAATAATAAAAAAAAAAACAATAAAGCCGGTTTCCATACTCGGATTATCCGCGTAGCGACAAGGGTTCCCTCACCAGTATTCTAACTCGCATTTCCAGAAACGTGTTTCCCCGAAGGATTGGTAAAGATATGCTCGGCAGTAATTCGAGAGGAGGGGGGATGTAAATGGTTTCCGGACGGATGGGTCGAAGACAAGCCGCGACAGGGTGGGAGGGGGAGGGGGAGGCAATAAAACAGACAGCTCCTCAGACTTGGATATGAGCCTTTTGTGAAGCGGGAAGGAAGTAAGTGGGACTGGGAGGTTTAATATCCTCAGGGTCTCGGCGGTTTTTAAAGGAAACCTGGATCGACATGAGATCCAATAAGCAGTGGTGGTGGCGGGATATATTAAAGTCGGTCCAAGGCCTCAAAAAGACTAATATAATCTTTATGGCGGCTCGTTCTACCAGCCCTTCTGCTACTTGTTTTATTATACCCTCCTCCCCCCCCCCTTCTTCACTATCCCGTCATAAACTCGAATTGCAGTCTTGCCCCGGATCTATTACGATCTCCTTTTATTTTTCTATTTTCTTCTCTCCCTTTCTTCCAACGGCTCTTCTATTTTCCTCTTTAGTCTCATCTTCATGTAATCTCTCTTCTGCCTCTCAGCTAATTAGAGCGATATAAATTAGGAATTGCATCCACGTTTCTAAACGGTACAATAATAATTTGAACTTTAAAGAATCCATTCACTATTTTTTCAAGTAATTTTTAAATTTAGACCAAAAAGTATGTTAATGAAATGAATTTTTATAGAACAGGAAGAACTTGAGGTTTTAAGTTCGAAGTATACTGATCAGATACCCTTTAACATGTATCTTTTAAAAGAATTTTCAGCAACCAGGGATGCCCAAAAGGAGATGGAATGGAGTAAGTGGCGCACTTCAAAATATTTGTTTGAGACGACAACATTTAGGAGGTTATGAATTTGTGGGGGCATAATATTTTTTTGAATTTTCAATTGAAGAGAACCTTCAAACCAAGGTAACCCTAAACTGCCTACAAACAAATTGCAAGAATTTAAAAAATATATCCAGCCATGGAGAACCTCTTTCAGAAAGAACAGATCAGAGGAAATAATTATAACTCGGCTTAGAATTGGACATGCAGGCTTTACCCATGGCTACCTAATGAGAGGCCTGGAACCATCATTTTGTAAAACATGCAGCACATCACTTACACTGAAACACATTGTAACAACTTGCAGACTATACTCTGACACCAGAACAAAACATAACATACCTTCCAACAAATCTGACGCACTTTCAGATGACGAAGAGAAGATACAAAAAGTATTTGAATTCATAAAAGACATTAAATTTGTCCCTCTAATTTAATTCCAACTAAAGCCGCTAATGACCTGCTCGGGTAGATGCGGAATGTAACAATAATAATAAAATAAAGCTAAACTGTAATTTTACTTTCAGGTGCATGGTTTTTAAGAATAGAACAATAAATTTTCTTGGAAAGGAACGGAGGTTTGCGTCAAGGCACATCAGGGGGTTGGGAATCGTATATTTGCAACTGATTTTATTTTAAATAGTTACAAAAATAGCATTTACTAATTCTAATGAAAATTATTAACCTTCCTCATGTTCACTAAATGTAAGATAAATAATTTCAGAATAGTAGATGAATAGGTACCAATTAACATTTTGAAAAATAGAAAAAAGATAATTAAACGGGCAATATTAAGCCAGGATTAAACGGAAATTATAAATTGTACTGAATTTTTTCCGTGGAGAAGAAAGAGACACCAGATTCTTTTAATATAAACATTGTCAATACATACTAATTTTTGAACAGTATATAACATAAATAAAAATCCGAAAATAATTTTGACAATAAAAAAAAAAAAGCTATTTTATCAAGTGATTCTGTTTATCCTGGGTCTAAGATTTGAAAGATTAAGAGTGTGTATGAATTTGAAATATTAGGATAATAAATTAAATACGATATGTTTAGCTGCAAGTGGAATTAACAAAAATACGTTACGACCAGCTATCAAACGTTTTGGAAAAGGTTTAGTGTAGATTTATTGAAAGATCTGCTATCGGAGAGGAACAGAAGAAACCGTGGAAAGAAGTCTTTGAGGGAGCGGAAGTATAAACAAGAGGGTGGAAGAGGGCTTTTGCCCTTAGAGGAAGGGATTGGGGTGTGATTTCGCCTCTTCGCGGAGAGGGGGAGGGAGAGGGAGTTAGACAAGGGCCCTCGAACAGCAGTCATCTGGGATAACCGTCCGCTACAGTCGCCCTCTTCTTTGTTTGCTGGTTCGGGGGTCGAGAACTCTCTCTCACTCTCTCTCTTTGCCTCTATATATCAACAGGAGGGAGGGTATTGGCTTTTCGAAAACCGTTACTGGAATCTAGAACCCGTTGTTTGGTTTTTGAAACAAAAGAAGCACAAGTTTAAACCTAAGTCAGTTAGTTATTATCAATAACTATGTTTTTGCATGAATAAAAAATCATAGAATAGGTTATGAAATGCGAAATTTAGGTTGTAAGAAATGATGCATTTTGCCGCCTTAACCTGCCTTACCCCATCTCTGGCTATCTTGGGCTATTTCTTTACAATTATCTCCATGTAGCTCTAATGCTAGTTGATAAGATTTATCCACGCTGTGTTTTCCCTACTATTGATGCACTTAATCAAACCTCTCATGGTCATTCAATGGACTGGTTTCAAATTTTAATTTAAATTACATTAATATTCTCAATATTTAAAATAGAGTGTATTTAGCTAGTTTCCTTTCCAGAATGAGAGGGAAAAAAAGAATAATTCGTTAATTTGAGGTGATTCAAAAGAATAATATGATAATCGAAAGATGATATGTGAGGAATTCGCAGTTTTGGAGCATGGTTGTTGAATCGAACTATCCATCTAGTTTTTGGCCTTCCGCGTGCTCTCTTGTCTACTATTGAAGCATTCATTGTTGTATGGAGGCTTCCTGATGGATTGTACTGATCTACATGCCCCACCTATCTTAACCTCCTTGCCTTCATATCATGATATATTGATCGGCCAGTTTCTATGAGTAGTTCATTAATGGTCTTTAACTTCCATGCGATATTATTCTGATTCCAGATCACTACGGTTACCGTGCGGAGGATTTTTCTCTCAAAGCTTTCAAGACTGTAGTGTATTTTATATGCTTATGTTGTACTAATTACTCTACTGAAATGACTACTAATTTAAGTATTTAAAACTGGATACAAATATTTTAAAAATTATTATCTCGATTTCTCAACTTTGGGAGATTTGCCGTTAAGCGTAGAATAGATTGCGTATACACTCTGGATTATTCTGCCGTAGGAGGAAAACAATACCACTCCCTAGGACCGATCCTTTAAAAGAAGACTTAAGAGCCGTTGAAGGGATCCAGAAGCTACGCGCTCGAACAAACACAGACCCCTGGTACAATGAACACTCCGGCAATAGGGAGGGTTTTCGGTCGAGGGTCCGGAAAATAAATTGGCCTTGGTTTCGCCCCTTTCCCAAATGGAAGGGGGCCTTTTCCTTTATAAAACGAGGCGGGGTTCACGAGAGGGGAAACCCTTAGGGCAGAATTAGGGGGATGATAAAGGTTATTGGCGGGGCGGCCGGGGGGTAATATCTAGTTGGTAATTGTTTAGGGCGCACCCCTCACTTACAACCCCATAAAATCCCCATCTCCAAACCCCCCCGCCATCACAAATATATTTCTTCCTTATAAGCCCTTAAGGGTCTTGGCTCTACACTGCCGATGACTCACGTATAAACAACTCCTATTTATAGGGTTCACTGATTCTGCCAAATCCGATCGGATCTAAAGAACATTCGAGCGTGTTTAAGCATCGGTAATAAACCCAACCATAACAGTCGACATTATTTTATTTTATTTTTTTGGTGCCAAAACTAAATAAATACATAACTCATATTAAACTTTGATACTAATTTAAGATTTTGAAAATAAAAATTATTACCCAGCGTAAAAAATGTCGGTAATAAATATCAAGCAGAAAGGTATTTAATATTGAGAAATGAAACCTTGCGTGCTTCAAAAGAGTTGTTAGTTTACACCAGAAGTAATATTATTAAAATTAAATACACATAATTCCTTTAATAAGAAATAATGATTTTCTTCTTATAAAATAAAAAAATGAGAAAAATTTAATTTCAAACTTAATTTTCTTTGTAAACAAAATTAATAGATCTTACTTTCCTGGTTTATATCTTATTTCATTAGAAGTTTTGGTATGTTTCATCAAAATTAGATTAAACGGTAGACTTTCATGAAAATTGAGACAAGTATCGATTTATGTGTAAAAATACCCAATGGGTACGATGGTGCAATCATTTATTTTTTTAACCGGATATAAATATTAAGAACAAGTTTATTTTAGAAACTTCCTATTTTTTCAAAGAATGTAATGATACTTGTATTAAGTGACCTTAAAAAAAAAATGGAATTTATTAAAATATCTTGTAACTGTTTTAATGAAATGAAAATTAATAATAAATTTATCTTAGTGTGAACATAAAAAGTTAATTATTATAATACATTTTTCTACTCCCCCCACCACGGTTTATAGACCGAATCCAACCCGAACCCCAATTAACCTTTTTATTCTTTTCCAAAAGCGGTCCTATCCAAGTTTCAATATTTTTTTATTATTATTGAAATGGTCCATGATATTTGGAAATATGTGCTACAAAATCAAAAATCTCTTAGTTTGTTTTTTAAAATTTTTTTTTTCTCAGTTATAGTATACTGGAATGGATTATATAGTTTTTCGCGTTTCTTGATAAATTTACAATGATAATTTCACTTTTAGAAACAAACGACTCCTTTATTAGTTATCTATGCTGTTTAATGAGACAGTTTAACACATTCATATAAAATAAAATAACCTACTATTTTTTTTTTTACCTTTACATCAATTAGAAACTGCTAAAACGAAATAATAGTTTTAAAATAAAAAAAAAAGATGAAATAGGTTACGTTGCACTGTTGCAATATAGAGCATACTAAACCTATTAATTTAACATACAATCATTAATTATCGAATATGCAAGCAATATACTAACCACAACTTATGTTATCGCAATACCGTAAAGAATTGACGATTAGTTCTTTAATCTTATTACACACCTGTCAGAAAGATAATGTTGAAACAATATTGAAACATTGAAAGAAACTAGATATTTTATTTTGTTCTTATTTCGTTGTATATTATTTTGTTAATACATTATTGAAGGAAGTTAGTCAACTGTACATATCATGAGTGATAAATATTCAGGACGCTGTCATTATAAAGTTTTTATTGGTGCCGACGTTTCAGCACAAACATGTGGGTCATCATCAGTGCGTTTCGAGTACACGCCCTGATGATGACCAACGTGTTTGGGTTGAAACGTCGGCACCAATAAAAACTTTATAATGGCTGCGTCCTAAATATTTATCACCAATGATTTTCTTATTGCCTTATTTATTTATGATTCTGTAAATACGGGGTGAATGTGTTCTTTGAACTCTATTATAAGTGACCTTAACTGAGACACTTAAGTGAAAAAAAAAAAAAGAAACTAAACTACTAGTCGAAAATAGATACTGAACGAGATATCAGATCATTTAATTTATTAAACAACATTCGTAAATGAAATAAGGAGTTTATATACACATGCATAAGTGGAATAATAGAAACGAAATTTAGGAATGATACCAAATAGAGAAGAAAACAAGTGTTTCCTACTTTGTCAACAACACCACGCCCATATGATTCACTTTCTCTACCCAGAAGACGATTCAATTTGCATACAAGATTTGATTTCCCCAAGCTAGGAAGAAAAATCAAGAATTCTCACTGGAAAGCGAAAAGAACTTGGCCAGAAGGAAACTAATTTGGACATAACTTCATGACATGCATGGAAAAGCATATCTTTTCCTTATCCTTCTTATTTTGCTGGATGAATCAATTGTGGATTATATATAAGACTTGAAATATTTAAAGAGCCATTGCTTGTTCAGCGTTAAGAGTAGTGTGAGTCTTGGATATTTTGTTATTCGCATGGAATACCTCATGCACCTGAACAAGAGACGTTTGCTATATGTTTACATATTTCTAAAGTGAGTAATATAAAAAAAAAAAATAAGAAAATTATGAATACGGGATAGCGAGTCGTGAAATGAATAATCCAATACTCTATTATGATAGTTTGAAATAAACTTAAAAAAAAAAAATTGCGTCGCACCATTACTGCTAATATCAATGTTGCTACGTTTTATAACAACAGCTCTTACACAAACGAAGAGATAAGTTTAACGGACTTTTTGTTAAGTACTCTTAACGTATCGCGGCCGACAGTCGGCGGTTTATAGCAGTTTCGTGGCAAACTGCTTGCGTGGAATTATAAAGTCCTACAATAAGAATAATGATGGTTATCTCCTGTTTCCTTTACTGATAAGGAATAAAATTACAATGAAAAAAAAGAACTCAGAAGCGTTCTGCGTTCCAATTCCTCGTCAACACTAAAGCTGTGGTCGACATAATAGCTCTGATGATTGTTTGTACATAATAGCTGAGGTTTGTTCGCGCAATAATAATTTCAGGTCATTAAAGCAAATGACGAAGAACATTAATCTTCTACGCAGAAGAAATTCTTGAACGCTTATAGGGCAGGAAGACTGGAAATCAGTAAAGCTAAAAATGAGTATTTGGGATTCAATGGAAACTCCTCGCTAAATGTAGGAGAATCAGATTTGGCACCAACTGATGAGCAATTTAAATATTTAGTAAGAGGTGGCTTCCGGAAGAAAAAAAAGGTTTTGAAGAAATGTCATCAGAGAGTAATTTGTTTCTAGAAACCTGAGCTATTTCAACAGAATCAGCTAGAAAACCTGTATCAAGGAGAATGGAGTTTTGTAAGTTGTAGATTATAGACTACAAAACGTTCCAAATAACGCCATCATGGAAAAAGTAAAGGAGGTCCTTTTAACATCCTATATTAAATACATTGAGACAAAAAAAGTTGGCTTGGATAATTCATGAGAATGATGGACGAACAATGGCCTTAAAGCGTGCTCATGCATGTACCTTCAGGGAAAGGGGGAAGACAGGTCGACCGGAAAAGATATGGATGGAAGGAATACAGGAGGCATTGGTAGAAAATAAATTCTAAAACATATATACAACTATTAAATGTATATATTTCAGTTATAACATATCAAACTACTAATGGAAAAATTTAATGGATCATCATTAAATAACTTTAAAATATATATATTTTTTTTACTTTATCAAGTCATGACATATTCTAGGAATATTTAAACATGCCATTATTAATATGAATTAAAAGGGAAATTAGAAGGTTTTATGTAATCGTAAAGAATTACAACGAGTAGTTAAAGTTTAATGCCGAGACAAACAGGAGTTTAGGAACTACTAAACGACTCGAGAGTGTTGAGTGTTGGTTGAGTGGTAATTGTCAGACCATCAGCTCAACTGACTCAGTCTCTCCTCGGCATCATTTAATTCTCATCTTCTTGCCGACTTCGGCCGAAATTGTTTCTCTATTAGGCTGGTCTCTAATCTCTGGGTCTATTAGTTGCCTTCATTATTACTTTAATTGGAATCTCTTTCATCGATTAAAAATATGTGTACTTCTTTCATATCTAACTCCAATATCCATTTTAACAGAAAATATTTAAAAAAAAATTATGAATCCTTCACTGAAATGAAAGATAAACTCAAAATATTCTCTCTTGTTTGTAAAACGGTTTGCATATATTTTCAGTTAATGAGTTGATCAATTGTTGACAACAAATATTTGTACTTCGCAATTAATATTATGCATAAAACTTGATCAAATATTAAAAAGAATATACTCTAATAAATCACAGGTGTATATTCTGATGAAATATATTTGAAATGAGTCTGTTAGTCAGGAATATCATACTGCTTACGTGACGCAAGTAACAGTAAATACGTTTAATATTGACATAAAGTAGAGTATATTTTATTGTTTAACTTAAAATATGTTTTCAATTTTCACCACAGACTCTTGGAGATTAAAAAATATAGTTCAATTTCTAACTTATAGGAAATATATTAAAGGAGATAATACTGAACTATTAAGATCCCAAGACAAGTTTTTCTCATATAATATCCTTTATCTTAATTGGAATGAACTGTTGTTTAGGAATAACCATAATTAACAAAAATAAAAAAAATCTGAGAAACAATAGAGAAGACTCACTTGGTAGATAGGGGCTGGTTTATCTAAAGTGGTTCCAAGGGTCTGCAACCATTAGTTGATATTAATGGTTGCGGATTTGGAACTGTGAGGGAGAGGGGGTGGGGAGGGTAATGGTTGTGGAAACAATTGGGGCTATTGTGCTGCCCCCTGGCGACCTCCTTGATAAATGATCTCGAATCCAGGAGGCCGTGTTCCATCTAATTAGCGCTATCAATACCGCGCCGCCGGGAATCGACTGCTGGTGACAATGGAGCAACGGGAGTCAATTTGGGGCAAGATGACGAGCAGGATAAGGGCGTTCCAATAGCAACTTTTTTTTTACTCCCAACGCAAACATATGTGCATATTTACACATACAATGTGGGATTACAAAATTGATTTAATTCTTTCTCTGTAAGATATTCATTCATATTTCTTTAGTCCTGAAAACATTGCTGTAACGGGCCCAACTTTAAAAAAAAAAAAAAGTTGAAACTAACCTATACAACAGGAAAAAAAGAATGTTGGTTCTCAAATATTACCTTATTCTTCAATCATTCCATTATCACACATCAGATATCTTAATAATTGCTTGACTAAAATTAATTTCTGTTTCTTGCTTCATTATTTTTTTGATCTCGCAATGTCTTCATTATCAGTTCAAAAAATATTTTTTCTTGCAATCATAAAAATAATTCATAACTAGTATACCTCAATGGGAACAATCTGAGCTTAGAAACTGCCCAATTTTTCTATTAATCTATTTGACAGTTATTAAAACTATAGAAGGAATTTAAGGACCGAAATTGGAATCAGTCACTTCTCTATGAAATTCTCCTTATTTTCATACCTTTTTCATCAAAATCCAAATTCATCTCTCCTAATGCCCGGAAAATTACATAATAGATAAACTTACAAAATATACTACCGAATTATATATATATATATATATATATATATATATATATATATATATATATAATTGTAAATTGTATGTAATGTAAAAATTGTAAATAGATATCACTGTAAATATGTATATAAACTATTAGATTGTTCTTCAATATTTTTTTCAATATGACTATTTCATTACTTTACATTTCTTTTTATGTATCTCTGAGGCTTCTTAGCCCACATTACTGTCTTCCTGTATTATTCTAAAGGGACTCGTCCCAGAATAAATAAAGTATTATTATTATCTCTTTATTTTCCAAATATACATGATGTTTATAATATGCAATAGTTGGGGACCTATTAGGTCAGCCAAAAATCACATTTATATATTTTCATAATTATTTAATATTTGTCAACTTCCTGACTATACTTGCTGTTCCCAACAAAACCGCTAGTTGCACTTTTTCGATCGTTCGAGATGGTAGTTGTAGTTGTCGCAGAGAACATAAGAGTTTCTTCCGGTCCGTCCGTTGCATTAGATTACAATTGGCAGAATTCGGGTTTCCTTTAAACGATGAATGAAAACAATTGTTTTATATCTTCAGCTAATTCTGCGTACTTTCTCTTTTTTTTCCGCTACTACCTCGTGCAGGTTATCATCAGAAGGAATCCCAATCTCTATGATAAACGCAGGTTGCTTGCCTTTATCTATTATAAGAATGTCAGGCCTATTGTGGGGGATGGTGTATAATCCGTCAGGATCGGTTGATCCCAGAACACCTTGACATAGCGCATGGAGATAATTAGTTCTGGATGATATTTATAATACGAACAATATTTATCGACGAGTTCTATTTTCTGAGCCATAGCTTGGTGCACAGATGGTGTAGATAAAAATAATGGCGATTAGAATTCCGTTTTCCATCATCCAATTGTTTAATTTGTGATAAGAAATGGTATTTTGCATTATGGTATACCTGCTAACCACGTAAGTGCCTATTATATTAAAATTAACGTTTTATATTTTTATAAAGTAACAAAAGATGGTACCAATTTTTTTTTCTTGCTGTCAACGTTATCACTAGTAGTAAGTTTAGAAGGCTTTAGAGATAGTACAGGGAATTATGTCAGAAGGCACTTATGCGGCTTAGCATGATGATAGCTTGACGATATACTTAATATTATTACGGACTCGACTTACCAGAGGCTGACTTGGTCTCCTCCCTGTGAAGGTCCGGTTTGGCGGCCAACATGCTGAGGGGGTGCGCCGCAGGCCCTGCCAAAGAGGCCGAGAGTCCAAGCAGCGAGGCCGCAGTGGCCGGGGGCCCCGGCAGGCCTGGGTGGGGCATCATTGGCAGGGGCGGGGCGTGCCCGGCGTGGGGGAGCTGTCCGGCGTGCATCTGTTGCTGCACAACAATACATTGTAAATGAAGAATAATATTAAAGAGAAAAGATAATATAAAAAAAAGAATTATAGAATAAAATAAAAAAAGAGCAGTTATTTAGAAGCAAAAAAAAAAAAATATATATATATATGATTTCAATATTTAATAATTGACCATTGCATTACAAAGGAAGGAGATGGTCCGGGTTGGCGGTCATAAATAGGCTAAATAGTGGTAAAACTATTTTATTAAAAGACAACGTTTCGATCAGACTCTGCAAGTCTTCTTCAGGACTAAATCGGACAAGATACAAAAAGATAGAAAATTGTGGAAGTTACATTATATTTGCAGGTCTTCTTCTAGGCTAGAACGGACAAGATACAAAAAGATAGAGAGAGAATTGTGGAAGTTACATAATATTTTGACAAAAAATTATAAACAATGTGAATAAGCTTATTAAAATTATAAACAGTAAGTACATTAAAATATAAACAGAGTAAGCTAAGTAACAAGATCCTAAATTGAAGTAAATAGATGCTAACAATTGTTGTAGTGTAATATATAATAAATGCAAATGTGAATATACTTCTACAGATCTACAGGAGAGACTGAAAGAAAAGAAAAAAGAAAACCAAAAAATTAAATAAATACGTAAATAAAATTAGAGACTTATAGGTGTGTTCAGCTATGAGTTTCACTTGGAACTGGAAAACCAGGGTAAGGGCAGATATTGGGGAAGCTGGCTTGTTTGGGTAATGGGGAAAAACCTAGAAAATTACAGTATCAACAGTATTGATACTGTACCAAAAAACATCTGTAAGTCTCGAATTTTATTTAATTTTTTGGTTTTCTTTCTCCACATTCCTTTATGTCTATTATTTCATATTATATCCTTCTTAAGTTTCTTTCAATCTCATATTCAAGACTTACAGATCTTTTTAGCTACAGTATCAATACTGTTGATACTGTAATTTTCTAGGTTTTTCCCCTTTACCCAAACAAGCCAGCTTCCCCAATACCTGGCCTTACTCTGGTTTTCCAGTTCCAAGTGAAACTCCTAGCTGAACACACCTATAAGTCTCTAATTTTATTTACGTATTTATTTAATTTTTTTGTTTTCTTTTCTTTCAATCTCTCCTGTAGATCTGTAGAAGTATTTTCACATTTGCATTTATTATATATTACACTACAATTGTTAGCATCTATCTACTTCAGTTTAGGATCTTGTCACTCAGCTTAGTCTTTTCTTATTTTAATGTACTTACTGTTTATAATTTTAATAAGTTCCTTCACATTGTTTATACTTTTTTGTCTAAATATTATGTAATTTCCACAATTCTCTATTTTTTTGTATCTTAGATCTAGCCCTGAAGAAGACCAGTAAAGTTGGGTCGAAACGTTGGCATTTACTAAAATAGTTTTGCTACTATTTGGCCTATTTATGACCGCCGCCCCGAACTATCTCCTTCCTTTAAAAAATACGATTATTTGTGTATCAACAACAATATACATAAAAAAATATAAAAATGATTATTGGTCAATAGTTATTTTTCTAGTTGCAAAAAATCAGAAATTCTACAAAATGTTATAAAGGTGAATATAAGTTATTAATGATTTTGAGACGAAGTAGTCGACTGATGAATTATAAGGAAGAAACAAACTGATCAGGAATTTCAGTCAAAATTTATTTAATGGGTTAGCCAACGTTCCCAGCCAAACATGTGGAAAGAACTCTAATGTTCTTGTTTCGACTTCCAAACGATAACCCTGAAGATGACCCACATGTTTGGGTTGAAACGTTGGCTAATCCATTAGAGAAATTTCGACTCAAATTTCTGACAATTTTGTTTCATCCTTATTAATGATTTAACTACCCCAACCTAGTAAAAATAGAATTAAACATATTTATATATATAGAATAGAGAAAAATCGTTATTATAGGACAATATCCCTTAAGAATAACAGCTGTTAAAAGAAAAATACAGATTATTTTTGGGACAAAAGACTAAAAGATATTCTATCAATAAAAAAAAAAGGAAAAAAAAAAACCAACATAAAATTATCAAAAGTATTTACAACAATTGCAAAGGTAAAGTTGAAACCTCTTAATAATAAAAACGATAAATAATTAATAGCAATAATAAAATATGAAGATTAATTTTGTTAAATCTAAAAATATTTACATATATGTTTATTGAAAAAAGGAAAGAAAGAAACATATTGAGCAGAAATAAACAAACTGTAGGTATATGTTCTATATCAAGTACATATAATAGTTGAATATAAAAAATTCAATTAGAAAAAAGAATAAATCGTGGGTTTTTATTAAAAGATAGAAAGTAACTGATGGAAAACGAAATAGTGTTACTTAATAAAAGGTTATCTATCCAGTGTCTGTTTTGTGAAGAGGAGGATGTGGGGAATAGAAGGGTTTTAAATTTGGATAAGGAACGAGAGTATTTGTTTGTGCTTATATATATATATATGTGTATACATATACATACAAGGAATCTAAATATAAGTCAGTCACCTAGATTTCATGACATTTATCCCCCTTTTTGATAAAAAAAAACGGAATAAAAAAAACAAACGGGATAAAAAAAAAAAAAGAGGAGTTAAAAATAGTCTAGTTTCTATAAATTTAATTGAGCCGTATTTACATTATTGAAAACATATAATAGAAGATAAATACTGAATAAAAAAGATATGAGGAAAGCAAATTCAGATTAAATTTCTCCTAAGAGAATTCTAAGGAATAAATTGAAAAAATAACCCAATTATACAACACCAGAAAAAGAAAAAATGTTACATAAATTCCGATTACACATTATAACATTGCAGCGAAATTCTTCAGTTAGTACATTTAAAAGCGATTTAAATACTATATAAGAGGAAAGGAAAGAAGAGCATTACTCCAAAAATTTGGTTTATTAAAAAACAAAATTTTGTAATGGCCTTACCAATATTCTGGGGAGGTCCGGTCGTTGTTGCTGCAACATAAAAAAGACAAACAAAAGTTGTATACAATTATAAATTTTTGTAGTTGTTTTGATAAAATTTAGTAAAATAGCATAGGAGTGGACAAAATAAAAAAAAATAAATAAATAAAAAATAATCATAGAATACAAGCTGATAACACTGACATAAAAGTTACCACACAGAAAAAAAGAAAATGTGTACACAATCAAAAAAGGTACCAGAAATTTTAAAATATAAATAATAAATAAATAAAATAAAATAAAAAAAGCTATACATTTTTACACAGAAACAACTTCCGGACCTCGCGAAGGGACCTGCTCTAACATTATTTTCTAATTTCGTGCCTAATATAAACATTAACCACTGAGGACTAATACATGCAATGTGTTTGGCTAAGACCATACAATATATAAAAAAAAAACTAAATAAATATCTCTTGTAATAATAAAAACACCTATTTATTAAAAACGTATAAAACTATAAAGATGCTAATATGACTACAATATTTTCTAAAGTAACGAAAACAAAATTTTCAATAAATTAATCAATTTCAAATTTAGGATGTCATCTTTTAAAAAATAAACAAAATGGGCTACATACAAAAAATCTATACAAATTCGAGCTCGAACCTTAAGTTGAAATTAGGAATTGCTAATTCGAAATTCATCAAGTAAATTTATCTATGTGTGTTAAAATACCATGGTCATTTCTATTCCCATAGGTTTGAGAAATGTATCCTAACTATAGTAATTTCAAATAGTAAGTAATTAATATCATTAAAATTTCATCTTAAACACGTATATTAACTTATATACGACAATATATGGGATAATTACATTAAGATTAAAATTAAGGAGCAGGATAGTTAAGGAGCAGGACACTAACTTCTTATGCTCAATATCTTCAGTTCGAATTCGACTGTGGCACATAATTATTTATTCTCTTGCATCAACCGTGGATGGATCCTGTGATCAGAGGATCTTTCTAGTGCACACCCAGCCTCTATAAAGTGGTTACTTTTAATTGATTATTTAATTAATAATTAATTATTTAATGAAAGGGAAAAACCTGGAGGTTGAGAGTAATCTCTAATCACCTCCCTGCAAAACCGTCTTGAAATAGTATTTCTTTATTAAGCACTGAACCCGCATTGGTTGTAGTGCAACACTATTTTTTGTTGTTTTCTTATGTAAGTATTATGATGCTTTCCAATTGGAAAAAATATATATATGAAGTACATAATTCGTGGGGGAGATCATGTTTGCGATCGAATACAAACTCATATGTGCTTACATTATTTTTTAACTGGTACGTACATTGCTCCTGTGATTCTGTTGGAAGAGCGGGATGAAAATTATCGATAATAAACATCAGAATTTAACAAATATTAGCTCCGAGTATTGACTGGGGAAATCTGAACGGTTTCAATTGCCGCTGGGATATTCGGGCAGTGAAAAGGTCTGGAACAAATGATGTGGAATGTGGTTGCTGATTGGTGTTGACCCAAGAAGAGCAAACAACCTCCGCCGGTAAACAGTAATTTCGGTCCCGGCTTTATTTTTCTTCCTCCAACCCGGGCCGTGCAAACACTCGACCGTTCTCGACGAATTAGCTTCTATTAGCGGCTTGAAAGAGCTGCCAGGCAATTATAGCATGTGCAGGGGAATTCGAAAAGCGGATGAACTCCCATGAATATCCAAGTTAAGTAATTTTCCAAGCTGGGATTAAACCAGGGATAAACTTTCAAGAGGAGATAAAATAATAACTACAACGGTATATAAAGAGTACATTGATTGTTTGTGAATTGAAGAATATTATTTTTTTAGGAATAAGGGTTATATAAATATCCAAGTCCTAAAAAAATATACATTCTGAATTGATGTATTTGATCTTCGTTAACAGACCTAACAGTAAAAAATAAAAATGATTAAATAATATTATAAGTATATATATATAATCATTAAAACATGTATAGGGTAAAACATGTATATGTATGTTAAATGTGGGGGAGTGAAGTAGCTCAGTGGCAGGGCACTAAGCTTGCAATGCTTAAGGTTTCAGGTTCGAATCTCGTATATGGCAGAAAAATTATTTAATCTGTTTCATTGGCCGCGAAGCGATCCTGAGGATAAGAGGACCCTCCTGGGGCACAGCCAGCCTATACAAAGTTGATACCCTTAATTAAATAATTGATTAAGGAGGAAAACCTAGCGGTTGAGAGTGATCCTGGCTCAATCTTCTCTCTACCGTTCTTCTACAACCGTTGGTCTTGTAACAGTACTTTCCCTAAATAGTATAGAACCTTCATGGGTTGTAGCTGGTGTTGCTCAAATGCGGGGTCAAGACGAGTCTTGGTCTTGCTCTTGCGCAAGTATCTCGCAACAGTCTTACAGTTACCTGTTAGCCTATTACTAAAGAGATATTATTGTAATTTTTCAGATAGGGAAACCTAACTAAGCCCGAATGAAAAATCGGAAGAGTTAAATGTAAAAGTATATTGGTTATACCTATCCTTTACATATAGTAACTAAACTGTCAAGTATTAGTAGCTATTTTTCCTGAATTTGTATTCACAAAAAAAAAAAAAAAAAAATTACCAGTCCTGAAACAATCACGTGTTTTCACGATTTTGGGCAACACTAGCTGTAATGGTAGTTTTTTAAAATATGTATACGTTTTATCTTGACATTAAGTAGTATTTGAATTGTATTTCTTTTATTATGTATCTAATTCAGTTGTAATATTAATATGATACAATTGATTATTTTCATACGGTTTTTAATCTCTAAGAAGTGGTAGACGTCCCCTCTAGGCTGACGCCACTGGTAAATGTCCGAGTTGCCCTGTCTAAAGGTCGACACTGAATTCCAGCACAAGGCATAGTCATATTTAATTACATTAATCATATACTCTATAAATAAAATAATTCTGCAACGGGAAAGGGTCTAAAACATAATTGTAGATTATGTTAGGTACTTTTTTAAGAGTTTATTGAATCCAGGAGAAAGTTAAATCAAGATTTCTACCCTGACAACAACCTTGATTTTTTATTTTATTTTTTCAAAAGATTTGAATCTCCAAAAATATAGAATAGAAAATAATACATAATATAATAATCGAAGTAAATATATTAACTGATTTAATGAAGAAGAATAGATTACTGAATGCCAACAAGCAGAGTAACCTAAATCCACGTCTTTAATAACTCCCAAGTCGGAGATGAGACAAGGGGTCCACTAAAAGTCAGGGCAAAGTTTTGTCCAGAACTCGCCCGAGTAATTAGTAATTTAACGGGAGCAGTTCCGATAGGAGCCAATACTGACAACTTCCAGGTCCTCCAGACCGGCAGATCAACCAGGCGGTACACATCCGCTCTGGATCCTCTCCAGCCAGAACTCAAACAGACAATGCCAACAAACCTCCCCGTAATCAAAAACAAACTCCCTAGTCATTAAAGGTACCGACCTGGGCTAATATTTAGCCAAGCGGTGCACGCAGGGATGGAGGGGATGTTTTCACTTATCAATAGGAATACAACATGAAAGTTTTTTTTTTCTCTTATGCCAGTCGTTGGTCATTTGGCCATCGGATATCTTGCTGCCCAGTATAATTTAGATTTTTTTAATATATATATTTGAAAATATGTTTTCTCTTATGTCCCTCAAGGCAGGACATGCGTCTAGATGGTCTGCATCCATTGTTCCTTGGTGACACAATTTACAGCTAGGATCCTCAACCACGCCTATCCTGTAGAAATGACTGCAGATAGCCGCGATCAGTAGCCAGGCGGAAGTAGGCAACTGCATCTCTTCTCGGCAGCTCACCTGGAATCGGATTATCCTTCAAACACTCACAACGTTTCCCTTCTTGTGCTTTCCTTAACTACCATCTTTACCATTCGCCGTATTGAATCGTAATGTTTTGGATGTATGGTTTTTAGTCAAAATTTGATTCTTTTCACTGTTTTATTAGGGAACTATGTCAAGAAAATATCTGACTTTATCCTAATTATGGCCGATTAACTTACATTTTGTACTTTAAGAGAATCAAGGATAGGAAATTATTTTATGAATTTCATAATAAACTGAAAATCTGAGTACTTCGATTTTTAATCTTTGAAATTATATTCGATTTAATAAATAAAGTAGATCTAGAAATTTCCAAACGAGCGCAGAAGCAAATGTTTAAAAGATATCATCCCGGAGTGGTTTGATAAAAGTGCGAAGGCAGTGTCTGCGAGTTAATGAAATGTAAAGGGGAAGGAGCTTAATGGTTCAGAAAGTTAGCGACTCCGCGATGGGATATTTCTTTTTAAATTATCCCCAACGGAGTGCGAGGGGAGGGGGGCGCTTCTAATTGTATTAATAACATGCAAATGAGGAGCTTTTCACGGTGGAGGGGGCGCCCCCCAACCTTGATTAAAAAAGTATAATTGAAAGTCTTCCAGGGGGTCGCGATACCGGCCATCTTTCGCGTCGTTATTGAAGGGTTGGCGGCCCTGGCTGGAAGGAAGGAGTCTTTAAGTTTTAATAAGGGAGCCCTGGCGGGGTCTTTTTTTTTTTCTTCTTCTTTCCCCTTTTCCCCTCTTCCGTCACCCCTAGAGGATTAGCCGGTAATCTCTCTTAGCCTGGTCCAAATTAACAGGCTGTCTCTGGCTTCGTCCTGCGCAAATCCTGACGCCATCTAACTCTACTGGCGCCTTGCAAATGAGATCAGGCTACGCTCTCATCAGGAAATTGAGGGGATTTGGATATTGGATATAAATGCCATGGAGTATATAATTATAGACAAAGAATTTGTTATAAAACTATTTACCTCCATAAATCATTAGAAAAAATAAAAGTTTTGTCATTTATGTAACGAAAACTCGAAACTATTAGCAATACAGGAATTTAGGAATCATAAGGGAAGTAAAATACAGAAACATGTAAATACAAACAAGAGACAACATACCTCCCATAAGCATTCCCAAAAGTCAACCAAAAAGATATTGCTAACAACTCCAAGACAATTCAACATATCGGCGGTTAGTTGCAAAATGTCACGTTAAGTAAAAATTCATCACCTTAAACCAATAAGAAAATTGTGTGTTTGCTGTAACGATGAAATATAAAAGGATTTGTGTCATTTTAGTGCACTTACTTAAATATGGCTGATAAAACGATCGATTTTAACACGTCTTGCGGATGTTGAAGCTGGTGTTAATTTTGTAAATGTGGAAGAAAGGTTATTATAAGATTTCCTATTCTATTTATCAATTTTTTTAAGTGGAATGGAGTGTAAGAACAGAGGCAAGACAAGACTGTATAATAATCTGTTCACATAGTTAAGAATTTGATGAAGTTCTTAGTGAATAATTTATTTTTATTAATTTCCTTATAAATTTATGGTTTTCACATTCCATGTACTAAACATTGCTCAAATTAAAGAAGAAAAAAAATCCTTAAAAATGAAAATTAACAAGTGAAGTCCAAGTTATACACAGGTTGAGGTTTAGTTTGAACTTACTAGAGCTAATAACACTTTAGCAGAATAGCACGATCCTATAATCAAGAATTGTGCTAACTATTTAACACCATAACACATTATGTATAGCAAGCTACGCGAATACCCCTTTGTAGTACCAAGAATAGAAGAGGTAATTTCAACAGCATATGAATCGGCATTTTTTTCTTCTACTTCTGTAAGCAAATATCTCGGCCCCAGCGATCTAGCCATAACAGATCCGAGAATTCCTAGCAAATAAGACAGATTCAGTTGGCTGCTAGGATAGTTAAATCTCAATCATGGGTTATGGCTTGCTCGTTAGCTGGCCGGACTCCTAATGCCCCAGACCCCTCCAAATGATAGACACTTTAGCCGACCCAACTCTTTTATTATGGCCTAATGATGGTTGATGGGATCTGGCGGGTGAAAGCTCCTTATGGTACCCGATCTCCCAGCCATGATATTTTCGCATTACCCCTACTCCTTACTCGGCAGCCTTATTATTTTCGCTTATTAGTCCTGACGGATTTTCTTTAGATGTGCCGGCGTTATTTTCTGTTCAAATTAGTATCTTCGCCAACGAGATTCTTCGGTAATTGGCCCAACATTTAACTACATATGATTTCATTGAATATAAGATTACATCTATTTTTATAAGAGTGTATTATATACGCAGATTATATAAAATTAATAAATTTCTTTTTTCATTTATTATGTTTTACTATTTATTAATAGGTATGTGACCCTAAAATAACAGGGTGTCTACCGAAATATTTTAATATGAATATTTTGAATGAAATTTCCAGGTAATCCCGACACATATATATGCTAAACTTCTATAAAATGGCGTTCATTGATAATTTTACGAAACTGTTACAATATTTTGTATCTTAAATTCTGTAATCCACTAGCCGGAGTCCTTATAATAATATTATGAATTTGTACGATATATATGTGTAAACCTTATTTTTTTTCGGCATAAAAAATAATATAGAACAAAAATAACTGTCCCAGAAGTGTTTTCTTCATTTTAAGAATATAGTTTGATATAATATACAATAACACAAAAAAAAAAAATTATCAAAATCGTTTACCGATGAACCGTACAGTAATTTTTTTGACGTGCCATATGTAGATTTGTTTACATATCATTATGATGTTTAGTGACCGAAAATGATTTTGAATAAAAACAGTGAATTAGTGAAATTTCTTGTATTTTTCAAATTCGAAAAATTCACACGGTTTTTCTACATTAAAAAAATTCCTTGATTTTTCCAAATTAAAATTTTTTTTTACTATTCTATATCCAATTCCATATCCGTTGAACACCCTTAATAAATTATATGTTGATTGATTTCCAATATTCTTGTCTAAAACTTTTTATTTTATACATATATATTTTACCTACATCATACAAAATGAAACTCTCTGTTATGTCTACCAATAGCATTTGTATGGAGCTGTAAGAAATATCTTGATTTTATTTTAAAAATGACTTTTTATCATTTTTTTTCATTTGTTGCCAACGAATAATTTTTTGCCTCATCTTATTAAAAACACATATTTAAAAAAAAAAAACACATTTATGTAAAACGAATAACTCTGTTTCTATAGACACGGATACATATGTTTTTAATATGCAATATTTTAACAGAACCAGATTAAATATTCCACAGATAGAAACGATTGTAAGTTATGTATGTACTTAGCCAAACACATAAGTTACATTAGAGTTGAACACAATTGAGTGATGTCGCCCACTTACTCCAATTATGGCGTTCAACTCAGTCATTGTGACCTGTTTCGCTCGGTCAACAGCCGTTGCCACTTGCTGCTGGTGCTGCAATAGGAAAATACAACATGTCATAAACAGGAAATTATACACAACAATATAATTAAACACACACTTATCATTAAACAAAAGGGAAAAAAATTATCAAACGACACTCACCTCAGAATTTAGAAAAGGTAGGATTTGGGCTATAATAGCATTAAGTCTCTTGGCGATTTCAGTCTGAAAATGAAGAAATGAAAATGTGATTAGCTATTTATAAAAAGTATCATGAAAATATAAAATAATATTTACTAAAATCAAGGAAATAATAATGATACAAGAAATCTTGCGACCGTCTTGAATCAAACATACCATACAACAGCAATATTACAGTCTAACTTGTTCAAATGAAAAATTGAATACTTGAATAAAAAAAAAAAAGTGTAAATTAGAACATCAATAAAATTTAATTTGTAAAGGAACAATATAAGATTAAAAATGCACTTTTTAAAACATAAAAAAAATTCAAATTTAGCTAAAAACTTGAAAGAATAGCGCGTCTCGGAGGTATGGTGAGGACTAGGGATGTGGCCTATTATGTTTACTTATGTGTGACGCATACGGCTGCCAAACTAAAATTAATAAAATTCGAGCATGTACCCAATAAATTTTAAAATTCTGCTAAATTTCCGGTATAAATAAAGTAAACACAAATGTGACTCAATTGAGGGAAAAATGAAGTTTCAAGCAACCTGTTTGGCTTTGCATGGAATGCAAACCACGGTCAATCAGAGGATACTTAAAAATATTTCATTTTATACTTTAACAGTACCACCATAACTCATGAAAGGTCTTGGTAGTTAGTACAAGATACAGTACTTTGTAAGGAAGTACTGTTTAAGAGTAAATGGTTGAGCAGGGAGGTTATATTCAGCCGAGATTACGCAAAGCATTATTATCACTAGAGACATTTTTAAACTAATATAACAAATATAATGTAACTAATATGAAATATGAAACTACAATTTACTTTACGATATAATAAATGTTATATAAAAATATGGAGGATTGTGTAAACATTTAATTTTTTTCCTGTTAATTGACACCTCTTTGGATCCAATGTCCAGCCAAAATCGACAGATATAAACAACTGTAAAAATCGATAAATAACGCTGCATTTAATACTGATAAAGAACTGAAAGACATAAGATAGTTAGGGGATAGTTAGGAGGAGACTTTGCCCCCCTCCCCCCATGGAGTCGGTAAACAAGAGATGCCCCCCCTGATCTAAGATCCCCTGTAATTGAGACTTACCAACCGCCCGGCTCACTACAAGGGTTTTATCTGGCCCTATTGGCTGTCGCATTCCTTTCGCTTCGATTGGTCACTTTATTACGAGCTTTTTCTCTACGAGGCCTTTAATCTGACGGATAGCCCCCCTCCTCCCCAACCGCAGATATTGGAACAGCCAATTCCATGGCTACCGAGAGATTCTTTTCCCAAATAATCTCAATTCTCCCGTCATACTTCTCAATTCCTCTACTGTTGAGAGTAATAAAAATAAATAAATCGTGGAATTAATACAGGTAATAAGACATTAATTTTTGAAAGTCTATCTTAAATAATACTATCCATTTTCCAGGAGTTTATTAGGTTCGACGGAAGATTTTAAAAAGAAAAAAAAAGAATAATTTTTCTTTAAATTAGGAAATATAAAAGAATGCCTCACACATAAGTAAACTTAATAGGCCACGTCCCCTAGTCCTCCCTCACCATACCTCCGAGACGCGCTATTCTTACAAGTTTTTAGCTAAATTTGAAATTTTTTATGTTTTAAATAGTGCAATTTATAGAGTGTGAGGTAATATGTACATCTATAACATATAGTGTACTACGTTTTGAGTTCCAACATAGACCTACTATGAACGATTGTTAAGTATGTTATATTAGCACAACACAAGCCCGTTGTTGACATATGAAGTAAATTATATCCCATAAGTAAAAGGAAATATTCAAACAAGTGAGCATGAAGAACTATAAAAAAGTTTATATTAACTATGGTTCGATTATTAGCAGAAAAGCAGGAAATTTAAGTTTGGTGTTTTTTTTTTTTTTTCTCTCAGTAAATCACTTTTTCTCTCAAATAAAAAGCGATAAAAAACAAAATTAGTGAAGATAATTAATATTTACTTCTTAGGAAAGTAGACGAAATTTATAAAAAAAGTAAACTACATACAGTTCTGCTATTCATAAAATATTGGATTATTCAAGAGTTTTTTTTATCGTTCTCCAACTAGCTTACAAATATTTCACTTTTAGAAAGAGATTTATATTCGTTGTGAAAAAATTGTTATGTGATTTGATGTTCTTTCAACTCGGAGTACCCGTGTTTTAGGCAAAAACGACAACCATATATTATTAACACATTTTAATTTTAATTTTTCTTGGGACCTAGGATGTATTGTAATGAATTAGATGTTTGAGGACTCCTGTTTATAATAAAAAATAATGTCTTAGGTTCAAAAGATGCCTAAAATGGACCGTTTTTACTGGCTTGAGAGACCTTAAAACTTATCTGGTATACAAAGATTTAAATTTATATATTAAATTTTTCATGTAATACTTAGATTATATGCATTACACGGTATAAAATTTATAGAAACAATATGAAATATTTGTGTTTGCATTGGTGGATTTCATATGATTCCCAGTGGAGGGACATGAAAAATAAATTTGGATTTATTGGCTGTGTTCAATCAATGAATTTTTTTTTCTTTCTTTTTTGTTATTCCCCTTCACCATTATAGCCTTTAGGGGTTTGTTGTTTCGATTTGCAGAGAGTTGATGGGGGCTCGGGTGTAATTGAGAGGGAAACGAAAATAATAAAAAGGAAACGAAAAAAAAAAAAAACGCGGGAGCTGGGAGGAGGACGATAACACAAAAACCCGAAAGCGATGGAGAGAGGGAGGCTGCTGGTAACAACTCATTTGCATGGGGCAGACACACAGTAATAGATTGCTCTCTGCAAAAATAGCTAGGGCCCCCTCTTGACAATTGTGCCATATGGTCGCCCCCTCACCACAATTTGTCACTCTCTCTGTCAGGGCGTATCGATTTCTCGCCCAATTACTCTCGCCTATTCCTTCCTCTTCCATCCGTCTTTCGCCTCTTATGAGCCTCAGCTTTATTCCCAGGCAGTTCGAGAATTCAAATACCCAAAAGGGCGGGATACCGATATTAACGATAAATCGGAAATGAAATCGATGTAACAAATACATGACTATATCACATGCAATATTAAATCAAGTTAAATAGTAAACTCTCACTACTATACAGGTATGAGTATATAAAGCGAAAATTCCCTAATTTTTTAAAAATATATTTGCAAAGATAATCAACATTAAAGAAAAGTGGTGGGGACAGAACTACGTGACGTGAGTGGAGACCGCTATGTCATGGCTCTCCAGTGCCGAAACGAAACATCCATCCAAGATATATCTTTCCGTTTTTCACTCGCCCTGTTCCCTCTGGATAGAATTATTTAGTTTAAAATGTATTTTATCAGCACTTATAAATGCATATTTATGAAGTAGAGCGGAGGGAGGTTAGAAATGATCGTGTTTGAAGATCAGGAGGGACTCAGACCACACCTCCAGTCTACACAAAGAAGCTCTGTCATTTCAAGTCTATAGCTCAATATGATGAGATCCTAATTTTATATACATTATTTATCACTTAAATTTTCATGCAGCTCAAATTTAAGTGAATATTTTTCGGACCTATGTAAGGTATATTGGGTATAACTTATTTTGCCGTATCTGTTATGTCAAATGGGATATCTTATAGTTTTGAAAACTTCATGTCTAAATACAGTTCCGGTGTTTAGTAAAAGCGGACCAATATCATGTCAGATATACTTTGCAATATAACAAATATCTGAATCTCTAGTCTCAAAGGTATACTAAACATTTAAGATATATCTTATTAGAACATCTGTAGTTGTTATTACTTATTAAAATATTTTTCCCACCCTACAATTTAAATATTCCATTCAATCCCGTCCCACTAGATCTCGTACTTCTGACCACTATCCACCTCTTCACCGAACTGCTGCGTTTGACAAATCCTTCATAATTCAAGCCGTCTCCACCTGGAATACCATCCCTCCCGATATCCGACGTGCGTAATCAGCTTCCTCATTTAAATCTCTCCTTTTTAAGCACCTACTTCTTTCACAACCCGATTGATCATGAAAAGTAGATACGAGAACTTTTTAAGTTCCCCCAGAAATGGTTTTGTTTAATTATGTTATTTTATTTTCACATGTTTATATTGCACATATCTGTATGTATTTATTGGTTTTGTTTTATTTTTCTCCTAATATTTTTATTTTTATGAGCGTTGTAAATATTTAATTTAATTTTATGGCCACACAAGCATTTCCTCTTTATCTATAATTTGTCCTAAAGGGACAAAAGTCCCAGGATTATAAAAATCTATTTTTATTCATTTCATTTAAAATAAGGTGTAAACTTTCACGTACAACAAATAAAACAATAGTAATAATCCCTCTAAGGACCAAAGGATAAGTGATCCTTTGTGTCCACTCATTGCTTGTTCCAAAGGACTATCGCACATTGCTCGGATCAGTTTGGAGTTGATGGTATAACTGTGGCACTAAAGCTGCTAACACTTGAAGCCATTACAGATACCCTATTTCTTCGCCGTTAATAATAGATGGGTGTAAGATAGAGGAGCTGGATCCTCGAGACATAGAGATCAAACGAGCACACTGGCTCGAAATAAGGGAGCGCGTTGGACGGTGCCAGGTGGAAGGCTGCCAGGAGCTAATGCCCAACCTCTCAACAGGACGCTCTTCACGAGGGTCCGCTATTTCGGGAGGATCATCCGACTTGTCTGTTTATCGCTTTCTCCTTCATAGTCGCTAAAGCGGTTTCTGGGGGGAGAGCAATGGTCTTATTCCGTTGATGTTACCTTCAGAGTCAGAGAAAGATAGTGATCGGTTCCCAATCTGATAAATATCTGTGCTCTGAAGGTAAAGCATATTTATCATAAAGGAAGGAGATGGTCCGGGGTTGCGGTCATAAAAAGGCTAAATAGTTTTACCACTATTTAGCCTTTTTATGACCGCAACCCCGGACCATCTCCTTCCTTTATAATGCAACGGTCAACTATTAAATATTCAACATATTTATCATACTTTTTAAAAATATATCATT